AGCTCGACTTCCAGTTCCTCCACGTGGAGTCTGGTGAGTTAGTCGGAGTCAGTGAGTCAGGCGTGTCTGTGGGTGTTAGTCGGAGTCAGTGATACAGGCGTGTCTGTGGGTGAGTCAGTCGGAGTCAGTGAGTCAGTCGGAGTCAGTGAGTCAGTCGGAGTCAGTGATACAGGCGTGTCTGTGGGTGAGTCAGTCAGAGTCAGAGAAGGTCAGTAGAAGTCAGATGGAGTCAGTGAGAGTCAGTGAATTGTATGATCAGGTATTGAGTCATGTGACTGTTGGGTGTGTAGCTAGATAAGTCATGTGACTGTTGGGTGTGTAGCTAGATAAGTCATGTGACTGTTGGGTGTGTATAAGTCATGTGACTGTTGGGTGTGTAGCTAGATAAGTCATGTGACTGTTGGGTGTGTAGATAGATAAGTCATGTGACTGTTGGGTGTGTAGCTAGTTAAGTCATGTGACTGTTGGGTGTGTAGATAGATAAGTCATGTGACTGTTGGGTGTGTATAAGTCATGTGACTGTTGGGTGTGTAGCTAGATAAGTCATGTGACTGTTGGGTGTGTAGCTAGATAAGTCATGTGACTGTTGGGTGTGTAGCTAGATAAGTCATGTGACGGTTGGGTGTGTAGCTAGATAAGTCATGTGACTGTTGGGTGTGTAGCTAGATAAGTCATGTGACTGTTGGGTGTGTAGCTAGATAAGACATAACTACCAGTTTTTGCCAATCCTTGAACTTTGACCTCCCATCAGGAGAAACGAATTACACCCGGCGCGACATGGCCCCGGTAGAGACGACCAACATCCTGTACACCTCCTGTTACTCCAACAACACCCCCAACGAGCAGAAGTACGTGCTCAACTCCCTGAGGAAAACACGGTCAGTCTTCGAGGTCAGCTTCTCTCGAGGTCTCAAACTGGGCAACGAGTTCAGCATAGACATCAACCCACCCAGCACCAAGGGCGGACTTCATGCAGGCTTTAAGAAGGAGGAGGAGGAGGCGCAAGGTGGGTCATGTGGAGGGGGCGGGTAAGTTAGGTGGGTCATGTGCAGGGGTCGGGTAAGTTAGGTGGGTCATGTGTAGGGGTAGGGTGAGTTAGGTGGGTCATGTGTAGGGGTAGGGTGAGTTAGGTGGGTCATGTGTAAAGGTAGGGTAAGTTAGGTGGGTCATCTGGGGGGGGGGGGGTAGGGTAAGTTAGGTGGGTCATGTGTAGGGGTAGGGTGAGTTAGGTGGGTCATGTGTAGGGGTAGGGTAAGTTAGGTGGGTCATGTGTAGGGGTAGGGTAAGTTAGGTGGGTCATGTGGAGGGGTCGGGTAAGTTAGGTGGGTCATGTGAAGGGGTCGGGTATGTTAGCTGGGTTATGATGAGTGGTCGGGTAAAGTAGGTGGGTCATGTGGAGGGGTTTTATAAGTTAGGTGGGTCATGTGCAGAGGTCGGGTAAGTTAGGTGGGTCATGTAGAGGGGTAGGGTAAGTTAGGTGGGTCAGGTGTAGTGGTCGGGTAAGTTAGGTAGGTCATGTGCAGAGGTCGGGTAAGTTAGGTGGGTCATGTAGAAGGGTAGGGTAAGTTAGGTGGGTCAAGTGGAGGGGTCGGGAAAGTTAGGTGGGTCAGGTGGAGGGGTAGGGTTAGTCAGGTAAGTTGGCTATATAATAGGGAGAGTTCCCCCCCCCCCCCACCTGAACCTCTCACCTGTTGTTTGTCAACCCCAGGTAACAAGGTGCTGAACATGCAGGAGCTCAAGTGGGTCATCGACAACGTCATTATGGTCCCGGCACATCACTGGGTCAAGGTCGAGGTTATCGTCAAGGAGGAAAACTACAATGGAGAGTTCGAGAAGCTGTTGACGTTTGACGGAGATGTACATGTCCTTTACTATTTTGTTTGTCTGTCATATTTATCTGTTGTTTTTGTCTGTTGTTTTGTCTGTCTGGTTTCGTCTACTATGTTTGTCACTCAATATTTTCTGTGTTTTCGTTCGGATTCGTATCTTGTATTGAACGAAAAAAAAAATTATGCATCATTTGAAATGTCACCTACCGCTTCCCACTCCCAAGATAGTCACCTACCCCTTCCCACTCCCCAGATAGTCACTTACCGCTTCCCACTCCCCAGATAGTCACCTACCCCTTGTCTCTCCCCAGATAGTCACCTACCCCTTGTCACTCCCCAGATAGTTACCTACCCCTTGTCACTCCCCAGATAGTCACCTACCCCTTGTCACTCCCCAGATAGTCGCCTACCCCTTCCCACTCCCCAGATAGTCACCTACCCCTTGTCACTCCCCAGATAGTCACCTACCCCTTCCCACTCCCCAGATAGTCACCTACCCCTTCCCACTCCCCAGATAGTCACCTACCCCTTCCCACTCCCCAGATAGTCACCTACCCATTGTCACTCCCCAGATAGTCACCTACCCCTTGTCACTCCCCAGATAGTCACCTACCCCTTGTCACTCCCCAGATAGTCACCTACCCCTTGTCACTCCCCAGATAGTCACCTACCCATTGTCACTCCCCAGATAGTCACCTACCCATTGTCACTCCCCAGATAGTCACCTACCCCTTGTCACTCCCCAGATAGTCACCTACCCCTTGTCACTCCCCAGATAGTCACCTACCCCTTGTCACTCCCCAGATAGTCACCTACCTTTTCCCTCCCACTCCCCAGATAGTCACCTACCCCTTGTCACTCCCCAGATAGTCACCTACCCATTGTCACTCCCCAGATAGTCACCTACCCCTTGTCACTCCCCAGATAGTCACCTACCCCTTGTCACTCCCCAGATAGTCACCTACCCCTTGTCACTCCCCAGATAGTCACCTACCCCTTGTCACTCCCCAGATAGTCACCTACCCCTTGTCACTCCCCAGATAGTCACCTACCCATTGTCACTCCCCAGATAGTCACCTACCCCTTGTCACTCCCCAGATAGTCACCTACCCATTGTCACTCCCCAGATAGTCACCTACCCATTGTCACTCCCCAGATAGTCACCTACCCCTTGTCACTCCCCAGATAGTCACCTACCCCTTGTCACTCCCCAGATAGTCACCTACCCCTTGTCACTCCCCAGATAGTCACCTACCCATTGTCACTCCCCAGATAGTCACCTACCCCTTGTCACTCCCCAGATAGTCACCTACCCCTTGTCACTCCCCAGATAGTCACCTACCCCTTGTCACTCCCCAGATAGTCACCTACCCCTTGTCACTCCCCAGATAGTCACCTACCCATTGTCACTCCCCAGATAGTCACCTACCCATTGTCACTCCCCAGATAGTCACCTACCCCTTGTCACTCCCCAGATAGTCACCTACCCCTTGTCACTCCCCAGATAGTCACCTACCCCTTGTCACTCCCCAGATAGTCACCTACCTTTTCCCTCCCACTCCCCAGATAGTCACCTACCCCTTGTCACTCCCCAGATAGTCACCTACCCATTGTCACTCCCCAGATAGTCACCTACCCCTTGTCACTCCCCAGATAGTCACCTACCCCTTGTCACTCCCCAGATAGTCACCTACCCCTTGTCACTCCCCAGATAGTCACCTACCCCTTGTCACTCCCCAGATAGTCACCTACCCCTTGTCACTCCCCAGATAGTCACCTACCCATTGTCACTCCCCAGATAGTCACCTACCCCTTGTCACTCCCCAGATAGTCACCTACCCATTGTCACTCCCCAGATAGTCACCTACCCATTGTCACTCCCCAGATAGTCACCTACCCCTTGTCACTCCCCAGATAGTCACCTACCCCTTGTCACTCCCCAGATAGTCACCTACCCCTTGTCACTCCCCAGATAGTCACCTACCCATTGTCACTCCCCAGATAGTCACCTACCCCTTGTCACTCCCCAGATAGTCACCTACCCATTGTCACTCCCCAGATAGTCACCTACCCATTGTCACTCCCCAGATAGTCACCTACCTTTTCCCTCCCACTCCCCAGATAGTCACCTACCCATTGTCACTCCCCAGATAGTCACCTACCCATTGTCACTCCCCAGATAGTCACCTACCCATTGTCACTCCCCAGATAGTCACCTACCCCTTGTCACTCCCCAGATAGTCGTCCACCTTTTGAAGAAAGAGAAGGACATCGTGGAGCGGTTCCAGTCCCTGATCTACAACGCTATGCGGGGGACCCGGGTCAAGCGGGTCAGCACGGGCTGCGAGAAGCTGACCTTCCCCGTCCACACCATCATGACCCCGGCCCGGGGGTTCGTGCTGGACAACAACGGTAAGCCGACCTACATGGTCAAAGGTCACTGCGAGTGCAGGTTCGGCGTGGAGCAGGAGGTCATCATCACTGAGTACCCGGGCATCAAGCCGGACTACCGGATCAACCCGTCCTGGTGACCGGCAGCCGGTTGTCATATCACGGCCCGGCGACCGGCAGCCGGCTGTGGCGTGACGGTTTAGCCAGGCGACCGGCAGCCGGTTGTAATATCACGGTTTAACCAGGCGACCGGCGACCAATAAACAAGTTTGATCAAGAAAGGCTGACAAGAACTGCAATATTCCACATTCATTTTGTCTTCAATGTTATGTTCATGTGCTATTCATGTTTTCAGTTATAATATAGTTCGTAAAGAAATAAATCTTTTTGTGTGCTAATAAATTGACGTTATGAAAGTAAAACTAATGTGTTGAGCTTTATTTGTATAAGTAATCGTGGTGGGTATGTTGACATGGTGGTGTGGAAACATTTGAAGCAAGTCTAGTTTTGGTCATGCTATAGAAGTTGTGAACATGGACTTGTTACTTTGATGTCACGTTACTTTGACATTTGAACAATTTGATGTCATGCTACTTTCACATTTGAACAATATGATGTCATGCTACTTTCACATGTGAACAATTTGAGTACCTTGAAGTCATGTGATTTCACGTGCCAGAAGTTCAATGATTATATAACTTGATCTAAGTTCGCACCGCCAGAGGAAGAAAAGCACCTAACTGCACTTGAAATGAACAACATGCACCAACCAACACATGAAACAAACGACACATTTTTTTCTGTTATTTGTTTTCAAGGCTGATATTCGTGACACTTAGCGTTGTCAAAAGCTGACATTCAGTGAGGAAAACAGATTTGCTGTCAGTTAGGTAAACATTTCAACCCGCGACATCAAACGCTAACGACTAACATTCTGTTGTTTTGGTGCTGATATTGAACATTTTATTGATCAAAGATACACTGGCTGGATAGCGCCAGGTTTAGCAGAGCTTTCTGGTCTAGTGTGTCAATGTTGAGTCTCAAGCATACATGTTTTTAGAACTTTAAGGACAGGCTTGTTTTATTTGATATATTGACACCATTGTTATATTTTACCCCCCCCCCCCCCCCCCTACGAGTGTGGCGTCATTTATGGAAGACACCTTAATTTATGAAATAACTATATTTTGACATTTAGATTCACATTTTACGGAGAAGTGTTTTTGTTTTTCGTCATACTATAGAGCAGGGGTCTCCAAACTTTTCAGTCCGAGGGCCGCATTAACTATCAAATTTCAGTTCGGGGGCCAGTTTCTTCCAGATATGTCTTTCATTTTTCTGGGAAAAGTTCCTCAGCAATCACCGACAAACGATGTTTCCTTGGACAAAAAGATCTCCGCGGGCCGGATGAGGGGACTTCGCGGGCCGCATCCGGCTCGCGGGCCGTAGTTTGGAGACCCCTGCTATAGAGGATAGGGTTTGAGCACGTCACGTTTGAGTTGGATAGGGATAGAATTTGGGCGTGGTTTGATAGGGATAGAATTTGGGCGTGGTTTGATAGGGATAGAATTTGGGCGTGGTTTGATAGGGATAGAATTTGGGCGTGGTTTGATAGGGATAGAATTTGGGCGTGGTTTGATAGGGATAGAATTTGGGCGTGGTTTGATAGGGATAGAATTTGGGCGTGGTTTGATAGGGATAGAATTTGGGCGTGGTTTGATAGGGATAGAATTTGGGCGTGGTTTGATAGGGATAGAATTTGGGCGTGGTTTGATAGGGATAGAATTTGGGCGTGGTTTGATAGGGATAGAATTTGGGCGTGTTGAATAGGATCACGTTTGGGCGTGTTAGATAGGATGACGTTGTTAGGGATAGAATTTGGGCGTGTTGGATAGGGATAGAATTTGGGCGTGTTGGATAGGGATGGAGTTTGGGCGTGAAGATGGCGTAGGCTTTTAATTTTAATCGTCACGAAACATTGCTGTCCCGTGTCCTGATATCTAATGTCATGTTATCCTGATGTCCTGATGTCCAGTTGTCTCATATCCTTTTGTCCAATGTCCTATTGTCTCATGTACTGTTGTTCAATGTCTTGTTGTTCAATGTCCTGTTGTTCAATGTCCTGTTGTTCAATGTCCTGTCGTCTCATGTCCTGTTGTCCAATGTCCTCATGTCCTGTTGCCTCATGTCCTGTTGCCTCATGTCCTGTTCCCTCATGTCCTGTTGCCTGATGTCCTGTTACCTCATGTCCTGTTCCCTCATGTCCTGTTGCCTTATGTCCTGTTGCCTCATGTCCTGTTGCCTGATGTCCTGTTGCCACATGTCCTGTTCCCTCATGTCCTGTTTCCTCATGTCCTGTTTCCTCATGTCCTGTTGCCTCATGTCCTGTTCTCTCATGTCCTGTTGCCTCATGTCCTGTTGCCTCATGTCCTGTTGCCTCATGTCCTGTTTCCTCATGTCCTGTTGCCTCATGTCCTGTTTCCTCATGTCCTGTTGCCTCATGTCCTGTTGCCTCATGTCCTGTTGCCTCATGTCCTGTTGCCTCATGTCCTGTTGCCTCATGTCCTGTTGCCTCATGTCCTGTTGCCACATGTCCTGTTGAATCATGTCCTGTTGCCTCATGTCCTGTTGCCTCATGTCCTGTTGCCTCATGTCCTGTTGCATCATGTCCTGTTGCCTCATGTCCTGTTGCCTCATGTCCTGTTGCCTCATGTCCTGTTGCATCATGTCCTGTTGCCTCATGTCCTGTTCCCTCATGTCCTGTTTCCTCATGTCCTGTTTCCTCATGTCCTGTTTCCTCATGTCCTGTTGCCTCATGTCCTGTTGCCTCATGTCCTGTTGCCTCATGTCCTGTTGCCTCATGTCCTGTTGCCTCATGTCCTGTTGCCTCATGTCCTGTTGCCTCATGTCCTGTTGCCTCATGTCCTGTTGAATCATGTCCTGTTGCCTCATGTCCTGTTGCATCATGTCCTGTTGCATCATGTCCTGTTGCCTCATGTCCTGTTGCCTCATGTCCTGTTGCCTCATGTCCTGTTGCATCATGTCCTGTTGCCTCATGTCCTGTTCCCTCATGTCCTGTTTCCTCATGTCCTGTTTCCTCATGTCCTGTTTCCTCATGTCCTGTTGCCTCATGTCCTGTTGCCTCATGTCCTGTTCCCTCATGTCCTGTTCCCTCATGTCCAGACATGTTCAGCCACACGCCCAGGAGGAGGATGCAGCTAGTGGACATGGTCCAGATTGTCCGTGAGACGCTCGCAGAGGTCACGGACTCGGAGCAGAAGGAGCGCTACGACTTCGTCAACATGGTGGTTGACTGGGACTGGCTTCGTACCGTATATGGTAAGGTGGGAGTAGCGGTATACCATATATGGTAAGGTGGGAGTGGCGGTATACCATATATGGCAAGGTGGGAGTGGCTTCGTATCATATATGATTTAGTGGGAAAGGCTGCATTTCATATAGGGTAAAATGTACACACACGTATATTTATGGGCCTATACACACACACACACATATATATATATATATATTCATGTTGTTGTATAACTGTTAGTACACGCCACAGACAGTATAGAGCACCCCACCCACCCACTGTTGTTTAGGTCCCACCATCTACACAAAGAAGTCCCAGCCAAAGATCCCCAACTCCAACATCCTGTACAAGGCCAGCTTCTCTAACCACACCCCCGAGGACAGGATGTACAACCTCAAGACACGCAGGAGGACAACCTCAGTCTGCAAGATGTGCTACACCCGGGCGCTCACCTTCGGCGGGGACATCAACATCACAGCCACGCCCCCCGGAATACCCGCAGGGGTCACCACAGGGTTCAAGGCCGGGAAGGAAATAAAGAAAGGTCATGGACTAGAACTGTCGACCTACCTGATCTGACTCATCTGACAGTGTTTATGTTTTCCTTGTCAGTCATTACTACCTTACATGTCATTGACCCACCTGTTGTACCTGTCACTGTTTTTTTGTACCTGTCACTGACCAACCTGTTGTACCTGTCACTGACCCACCTGTCACTGACCCACCTGTCACTGACCCACCTGTTGTACCTGTCACTGACCCACCTGTCACTGACCCACCTGTCACTGACCCACCTGTCACTGACCCAGCTGTTGTACCTGTCACTGACCCACCTGTCACTGACCCACCTGTCACTGACCCACCTGTTGTACCTGTCACTGACCCACCTGTCACTGACCCACCTGTTGTACCTGTCACTGACCCACCTGTCACTGACCCACCTGTTGTACCTGTCACTGACCCACCTGTCACTGACCCACCTGTTGTACCTGTCACTGACCCACCTGTCACTGACCCACCTGTCACTGACCCACCTGTTGTACCTGTCACTGACCCACCTGTCACTGACCCACCTGTTGTACCTGTCACTGACCCACCTGTTGTACCTGTCACTGACCCACCTGTTGTACCTGTCACCGACCAACCTGTTGTATCTGTCACCGACCAACCTGTTGTACCTGTCACTGACCCACCTGTCATTGACCCACCTGTCATTGACCCACCTGTTGTACCTGTCACTGACCCACCTGTTGTACCTGTCACTGACCCACCTGTTGTACCTGTCACTGACCCACCTGTTGTACCTGTCAATGACCCACCTGTTGTACCTGTCACTGACCCACCTGTTGTACCTGTCACTGACCCACCTGTTGTACCTGTCACCGACCCACCTGTCAATAACCCACCTGTATACCTGCCAACAGGAAACGTAGTGACCAGCGAGCAGGAACTCACCTGGATTGTAAACAGTGACATCAGCGTCAAGCCCAATCACATGATCACGGCGGAAGTCAAGATCCTGGAGGAAGAGTTTGCCGGCGACTTCGAGCTCACAGTTTGGTTTGAAGGATTAGTAAGTAGGTCACATCATCTTAATGTTTTGGTTTGAAGGATTAGTAAGTAGGTCACATCATCTGTTTTGGTTTGAAGGATTAGTAAGTAGGACACACCATCTTAATGTTTTGGTTTGAAGGATTAGTAAGTAGGTCACACCATCTTAATGTTTTGGTTTGAAGGATTAGTAAGTAGGTCACATCATCTTAATGTTTTGGTTTGAAAGATTAGTAAGTAAGTCACATCATCTGAATGTTTTGGTTTGAAGGATTAGTAAGTAGGTCACATCATCTGAATGTTTTGGTTTGAAGGATTAGTAAGTAGGTCACATCATCTTAATGTTTTGGTTTGAAGGATTAGTAAGTAGGTCACATCATCTGTTTTGGTTTGAAGGATTAGTAAGTAGGACACACCATCTTAATGTTTTGGTTTGAAGGATTAGTAAGTAGGTCACACCATCTTAATGTTTTGGTTTGAAGGATTAGTAAGTAGGTCACATCATCTTAATGTTTTGGTTTGAAAGATTAGTAAGTAAGTCACATCATCTGAATGTTTTGGTTTGAAGGATTAGTAAGTAGGTCACATCATCTGAATGTTTTGGTTTGAAGGATTAGTAAGTAGGTCACACCATCTTAATGTTTTGGTTTGAAGGATTAGTAAGTAGGTCACACCATCTTAATGTTTTGGTTTGAAGGATTAGTAAGTAGGTCACACCATCTTAATGTTTTGGTTTGAAGGATTAGTAAGTAGGTCACACCATCTTAATGTTTTGGTTTGAAGGATTAGTAAGTAGGTCACATCATCTTAATGTTTTGGTTTGAAAGATTAGTAAGTAGGTCACATCATCTGAATGTTTTTGGTTTGAAGGATTAGTAAGTAGGTTACACCATCTTAATGTTCAGACTTCAATATACCAACAACAAAGCGGGTCTTTGTTATTGTTCTTTACGTGTTTTGGTTAAATTGGACGGCATCGATCAGGTGATGTCTAATGCCCACACATCAGCCAGGTGATGTCTAATGCCCACACACCAGCCAGGTGATGTCTAATGCCCACACACCAGCCAGGTGATGTCTAATGCCCACACACCAGCCAGGTGATGTCTAATGCCCACACACCAGCCAGGTGATGTCTAATGCCCACTCATCAGTCAGGTGATGTCTAATGCCCACACATCAGTCAGGTGATGTCTAATGCCCACACATCAGTCAGGTGATGTCTAATGCCCACTCATCAGCCAGATGATGTCTAATGCCCACACATCAGCCAGATGATGTCTAATGCCCACACATCAGCCAGGTGATGTCTAATGCCCACACATCAACCAGGTGATGTCTAATGCCCACTCATCAGTCAGGTGATGTCTAATGCCCACACATCAACCAGGTGATGTCTAATGCCCACTCATCAGTCAGGTGATGTCTAATGCCCACACATCAGCCAGGTGATGTCTAATGCCCACACATCAGCCAGGTGATGTCTAATGCCCACACATCAGCCAGGTGATGTCTAATGCCCACACATCAGCCAGGTGATGTCTAATGCCCACACATCAACCAGGTGATGTCTAATGCTCACACATCAGCCAGGTGATGTCTAATGCCCACACATCAGTCAGGTGATGTCTAATGCCCACACATCAGTCAGGTGATGTCTAATGCCCACACATCAGCCAGGTGATGTCTAATGCCCACACATCAGTCAGGTGATGTCTAATGCCCACACATCAGCCAGGTGATGTCTAATGCCCACACATCAGTCAGGTGATGTCTAATGCCCACACATCAGCCAGGTGATGTCTAATGCCCACACACCAGCCAGGTGATGTCTAATGCCCACACACCAGCCAGATGATGTCTAATGCCCACACATCAGCAAGGTATAGTCTAATGCCCACACATCAGCCAGGTTATGTTTTACCCCTACAGGTGATAGCCTACCCACGACGGAAACAAAAAGACAAAATTGAGAAATTCCAGGAGAAGGTAGCCAAAAACTTCCTGCCCAAATCCTACCTGGAGAAGTACAAGGAGGACGGCACGACCATCGCGCTGACCGCCGCCAACATGTTCACGCCGGCCCGAGGGTTCACCCTCGACCGCAACGACCGTCCGGGGTTCACGATCAAGGGGTCAACCAAGTGCAAGTTTGGGCTCGAGCAAGTCGTCACCCTCGAAGAACTACCCGCCCCTACACCCACACCCCACACCAACCCCTTCCAATCCAAATAAACACTGAACTACCCACCCCTACACACACACCCTTCCAATTCAAATAGACACAGAACTACCCGACCCTACATCCACCCCCTCCCAATCCAAATAAACAGAGCTCTAGCCACCTACAGGAAGGGGTGGGGGTCAACAGCCAACCATCACTCCCAGCCCCGGGAGATCAACGTATCCTAAGTCCCTCCCCCCCCCCAACCAATGTTATTGTTTTGTTCAAAGTTAAGTTCTGTTCACTTTCCCTGTATGGGGTGTAGCTTTGTTGTTATCTATTGTCAGCAACTTGAAGCTATTTACGATACTAGTTACATAGTTATCGCATTGTAAATGCTATGTGAATGTTATCCAATTTGTTAATGCAAGAATGTTATTATTAAAATGGAGTTTGAACAGCTGTATTACAGATTCTGTTATTATTGTTCATGTTTTTGCTCAAATTATACATCATATTTTTAGTGTTACTGATTACTTGACAACTAACTTTGGAAATGACAAATTAACGTAACCTGGGATAAATGTATAACATTTGGTCTACCTAACTGACACGTTATTTGAATGATCAGTATTTTAAAAACCAGAAATACAGTACCACTTTCGATTAGCGGAGGTTGCTAAAAAATGATGCAGTAATAAAACCTTATACTTTAAATGAAATTTCGTCATCTTAACTGAAACAATACACAAGTTACCGCCTTCCCACAAAAATAAGTAAAATACAACTTCCGGTAACCGGAAATCGTTCAAAATATGCGCATACAATGTGATATTTATACTTAAAACGTTACTCAAGTTATTGGCTTTTCAGAAACCGGAATTAGAGTAAGTACCACTTCCGGTTACCAGAAATCGTTCAAAAGTTGATATTGAGCTGCAAATATGATATATCTGTAAACATTTCGCAAACATAACTGAAAATGCTTTAAACTTGTGTTTACAGACACACAGACAAAGGGAGTTTTAAAACGTCGAAATTTGTGAAAATCTCGATTTCGATTACAATACTTCATCTCTACTTTGCATACGAAAAAGTAAAAAAAGAAAATTTAAACAAAGCAAAACACAGCAGCACTTAAGAGCACTGAACTAAAACGTGCGACCCAGTGTGCTTTTGATGTAACCAACCACAAGATTGGTATTCATTTGCCAGTGTTTAAATTTGTCTAAACTGTTTTTCGACAGCATTCACAACTGTAAGTTTATTATTGTCTTTTTTGTTAGAGCAATTCACGTGCACTGTTGGTCAGTTTAACAATCGTTGATATGATGTATCAAGAATGGGTAATTTTGATCTTGATTAGATGATTAGATCAAGTGGTTTTTTTTCTATTATTCTCTGAGTAGTTTGATATTCTCTCAAGTAAACTCTAGATTCAAGCGAAATCTAGTTTCAAGCTAGATCTAGACTTGATCTAAATCCAGTGATGCTGGACCATTTTGTTGTAGAACAACATCTTGTTGTCAGAGCATCTTCTTCCAGGCATCTCTACCGTCCCACCCCCCCCCCCCCCCCGAACGAGATGGATTTTATATAGTACGAGCCGGCCCGCGGCATAACATACGCCGCTATTTAGTTGTTGTTTTTTCTACTTTTCAGTAATTCATAATTTGTGAATTCGACGGTACCAACGCTGCCACTGAAAATATTTCTTTAAAACACTATAAGTAGCTCGTTAAGGACCATAACCCCCCCCCCCCCTTCCTCCCCCAACGTTTAAAATCTTTTCAAACTAAATTATCTGCCCCTAATAGCCGTCACTAAACCCGACTCCACGAAGGTAAACATAGCGTGAGCCACAGCTCACTAAGATAATGTAGGGGTGGGGATGGTAGGGAGCGCGTTTACAGCTTGTTTTCTAGCGTCTCCCAGAAGAGAATTATATATAAAGATGCATACACTTTTACTAGTGTCCCGTCCCCGTCTCCCCCCCCCCCCGTCGGGAGAAAAAAAGTCTGGAAGAAACACTGGTTGTTGTAGCCCCGCGCCCATCATTTTGTTATGGCCCCAACATTTTGCTGTAGTTCCCCCCCCCCCCCCGCCCCCCGAACACCCTTTTGCTGTAAAGACCGATAGAAGTAAAGATAGATGGTTTGATCACACAACGTTTTAGTGAATTAACAAGCTTATGTTATACTTTAAATGTCCATTATTTGCCTTAGACCAGTTGTTACTTACTAGAGGTCAGCCCTAGACCACGTGACTGCCAGAGGTCAGCCCTAGACCACGTGACTGCCAGAGGTCAGCCCACGTGACCTCGTGACTGCCAGAGGTCAGCCCTAGACCACGTGACCGCCAGAGACTAGACCAAGTGACTGCCAGAGACTAGACCACGTGACCGCCAGAGACTAGACCACGTGACTGCCAGAGACTAGACCACGTGACTGCCAGAGGTCAGCACTAGACCACGTGACCGCCAGAGACTAGACCACGTGACTGCCAGAGACTAGACCACGTGACTGCCAGAGACTAGACCACGTGACTGCCAGTGGTCAGCACTAGACCACGTGACCGCCAGAGACTAGACCACGTGACTGCCAGAGACTAGACCACGTGACCGCCAGAGACTAGACCACGTGACTGCCAGAGACTAGACCAAGTGACCGCCAGAGACTAGACCACGTGACTGCCAGAGGTCAGCCCTAGACCACGTGACTGCCAGAGACTAGACCACGTGACTGCCAGAGGTCAGCCCTAGACCACGTGACTGTCAGAGGTCAGCACTAGACCACGTGACCGCCAGAGACTAGACCACGTGACTGCCAGAGGTCAGCCCTAGACCACGTGACTGCCAGAGGTCAGCCCACCTGACCGCCAGTGTTGAGATGAAGAAATCTAAGCACATCAACATCGAACAGATCACGCTAGACAAGATCAACGCCACGTGGGACGACAACATCAAACGGCGTCACGACCTGAAGAACGTGCGATTTGATTGGACGTTTTTGCACGTGACATACAGTACGTAGCTTCATGCTATTTTCGCATTCTTTACACTTCTTTACACACAAACAAACGCTCCACCCCCTCTCTTGGTGTATCACCTGTCTACCAAGTCAAATAACGCACGTGTTTTAGATTAATCTCAGTAGTTCGCTGTTTTCTGTCATAGCTTAGATTTATAGGTGACTGGACTATCGTTCAGAGTTTTTTTCAGACACTTTTCTCCGGGATTGGGGTGGGGGGGGGGGGAGGGTGGAGGGGCGGTCACTGGTTGAAGTATATATTTTCTATATAAATTCTTCATCGTTCGGGGGAGGGGACATGCCCCCCCCTCCTCGCCCCGAACAGCTGCATGAAAGAAACTCTGCCGACGATAGAGTAGCAGGTCACTCTCTTCTCGTCCTTGTACTTGCCAGCTTTCATTTTTCGATCCAAATGGGAATATTTTTATTCAATCGGATAAAAAATTACAGAAAAGTTACTTTACAATTGTGATTTTCTTAAAGCAGCTTACAGTTTTTTTACTATTAATTCGAATCTCTAATAGGTTGTCCAAAACGTAGTTAAAAGATTAATATCATAGTAATAGCCTAGGTCTATCGGTGATTAAATGTATTCTATTATTAGTAAAAACATATTGTTGCATTTCGGGTACTTTTGATATTTTGAACTCTTGAAACGACGCCTAAAAAAAAAAGTTACCATGTTTTTTGTTATCAATGGGGATCATGTTGACAACATTTAAACATCTCTCTCTCTCACTGGTCAGCGAGATTTCAAATTGTGTGTGTGAGAGAGAGAGACTTACAAGCCCTATATATAATACAGTGCCGTTCATAGTTTATTGCAGGGGTTCCCAACCCCGTGCCCGCGGGCGCCATGGCGCCCGCCGAATGATTCGTATGTGCCCGCCTCTCACTATTCGACAGAGACAGAATTTTTTTCATAAACATTATAACATTATTGAAAGTTTGAAGGGGATGGAAATCGAAAGTTTGAGAGGAGGGGGGGGGGGGTGCAAATCGAAAATTTGAGGGGGGGGGGGTGCAAATCGAAAGTTTTGTCCCCGGGTGGCGGGAAGGGTCGCTACGCCTCTGGAAGGAGTTTGTCGATTTAAAATGGGTGGTGCCCGCCACCCTACCGATATTTTAGAATGTTCTGTAGAGTAAAAAAAGGTTGGGAACCCCTGGTTTATTGGTACTGTCATCACCCCATTACATTTCCCAAGGAACATAATTTTGGTCAATATATATATATATATATATATATATATATATATATATATATATATATACATATATATATATATATATATATATATATATATATATACATATACATATATACATACATACACACACATATGTACAACTATTTCTAGCCCCCGTCAAGTACATCAAACAAAGCGCCCCACAGCTGCCGACCTCCAATGTCCTGTACACGGCCTACATCAGCAACAAATGTCCTGAGGAGAAGCACTTCTGTGTGAGGACCAAGAGGACCACCATATCCACGTGTGTGCTCACGTACGGGGACTACCTCTCGTACAACAACGAGATCTCGGCGCCCAATGAACCGCCTGGTGGTGACATCATATCTGCTGCTTTCAAGACAGAGAAAACACAGAAGCAAGGTCGGTCCCCACCCCTACATATGTAATGTCCCCACCCCCACATATATAATGTTCCCACCCCACCATCTGTAATGTCCCCACCCCACCATCTGTAATGTCCCCACCCCACCATCTGTAATGTACCCACCCCACATATGTCATGTCCCCTCCCCTACATATGTAATGTCCAAATCCCTACATCTGTGATGTCCCCACCCCCACATATGTAATGTCATCACCCTCACATCTGTAATGGCCCCACCCCTACATAGGTAATGTCCCCACCCCTACATAGGTAATGTCCAAGTCCCTACATCTGTAATGTCCCCCATCCCTACACCTGTAATGGCCCCACCCCTACATCTGTAATGTTTAACCCTACATCTGTAATGTCCCCACCCCTAAATCTGTGATGTCCCCACCCCTACACCTGTAATGTCCCCACCCCTACACCTGTAATGTCCCCACCCCTACACCTGTAATGTCCCCACCCCTACACCTGTAATGTCCCCACCCCTATATCTGTAATGTCCCCACCCCTATATCAGTAATGTCCCCACCCCTACACCTGTAATGTCCCCACCCCTACATCTGTGATGTCCCCACCCCTACTATCTGTGATGTCCCCACCCCTTCACCTGTAATGTCCCCACCCCTATATCTGTAATGTCCCCACCCCTATATCTGTAATGTCCCCACCCCTATATCTGTAATGTCCCCACCCCTATATCTGTAATGTCCCCACCCCTAAATCTGTAATGTCCCCACCCCTAAATCTGTGATGTTCCCACCCCTACATTTGTGG